CAACGGCGTGACGTCCAAGGTCGAGTGCGGATGCACTGCAGTACTCTGTGTACTTTTCTGTTTCCCTCTCACCCTCCTCCTCTTCCTTCCTCCTCCCCCTCCGCCCTCGTCCTCTTTCGTGGCTGTTTTTTTCGAGCCCGGCTGGGATTAGTCTGGCGCGCAGCCTCTTCGCCTAATGCCTCCCTGCTCGTCTGTTTCTTCCTCCCTCCTCCTCCTCCTTCCTGTTGCCTTCTCGTCCCCCTTGCCCTCGATCGGCGTGATAGCTGCGGGGCAATACACAGCGGCCGCCGGATTTCGCGCCAAACGCAGCCCTTCAACTCCGATGGCTCTTTTGCGCGGCTTGTGCGACTGCCTGGGTTCCAACGCGCCTCGACGCCTAAAAACAAGAAGGGAGACAGAGCCCCCAGGAGTCGCTCCCCAACCCGTCTGGCCGCTCCAGCGCCCCAGCCCTGTTCCCCTCCGCGCTCTTGGCGCCCGGCCGGCCCCGAGGCCCGAGGGCTCTGGCAGGCCCCGCCCGCGCGACGGCGCCCCGACGAATGGTGGGCTCGTGCGCGCCGCCAGGCGGCTCGCAGGGCGCGGGCCTGGTGCCCTGGGCCTCGCATGTCGGCTGCACGTCAGAGCCACCCCTCCGCCGGAGGGGCGAGGCTCCTCCTCCTCCTCCCCCTCCTCCTCCTCCCTCTCCTCCTCCTCCTCCTCCTCCTCCTCCTCGGCCGGCGGCGAGCGAGGGGGGGGGGGGGAAGGCGCGCAGGGGCGGGCCTTCTCAGAAGGCTCGGAGGTCTCCTGGCCTCCTCGGATATAAGGCTCGGGGGGCCGGCCTCCCCCGAGGGCGCAGGAGCACTCGTTTTCTTTGGGAGGCGAGAGGGCTTCGGAGAAGTCCCGCCGCCTTCTGAGAAGGCCTGCTCCTTCTCACTTCCGCCCCTCGCTCGCCGCCGAGAGGGAGGAGGGGGGACGAGACGCGCCCCTCAGAGGGCGGAGGGAGGAGGCGCGCCGGTGACCTTTGGTGTGCGGCTTTCGGGTCTGCGGCCTGCGACAGCGGCGGCCTGCGACAGTGGCGGCCGCTGCGCGCGCTGCGACAGGAGCCACCTCTCGGGTCCCAACCCAGTCACGCAGGCCGCCGCTGTCGCAGCGCGCGCAGCGGCGGGCAAGCCGCGCGCCAGCGGCCACTCTTGCCCAGGGCCGCTCTCACGTGCAGCTGCGCATGAGCTGGCAGCCCTCGCCTGGGCCGCCGCCGCCGTGGCGGCCGCCGCGTGCGCGGCCCTCGTCCTCGCGCTGCTGGCCCGCCTGGGCCGTTCCCGCGGCGGGCGCCTCCCGGAGGGCGCCCGAGCCCGGGCCGCAGCGGCGGCCACGCACCCGCTGTGGATTGCCTGCGGCCTCTCGCGGGAGGAGGTTCAGGAGGGGAAAAAACACACAGACACACTTACTCGTCCATTCCCGCGAACATGTGGGAAAACATGGGAAGTGGGGTGGAAGACCAAAAGCCCAGAAAACATGGCAAAAATATGGGGGGATCCTGTTATCTGCGTGTATTGTTTTGGTGTGTCCTGGGGCCCCCTGCAAGAGGTGGAGAGCTTCGGGCGGCAGCTCGTCCTGGCCAGGGTGGGCGTGCAGGGCCAGCGGGCGCTCCTCGGGGCCCGCGTGCTGGTCGTCGGCGCCGGCGGGCTGGGGTGCCCCGTGGCGCTGTACCTCTGCGCCGCGGGGGTGGGCCGCCTGGGGATTGTCGACGGGGACCGCGTCGCGGCCAGCAACCTCCACAGGCAGATCGGGCACGGCTGGCGCGGCGTGGGGGAGAGCAAGGCGGAGTCGCTGCGGCGGGCGTGCCTGGCCATCCACGGCCGCGGCAGCGTCACCGCGCACGCGGTGCGGCTCTCGGGCACACTGGAGGCCGCGGAGCTGATGGATCAGTACGATCTAGTGATTGATTGCACAGACGCGCCTCCCAGTAGATATCTGCTCAGCGACGCGGCTGTCCGCGCAGGACGACCGCTGGTCGCTGCCAGCGCCGTGGCCCTCAGCGGACAGCTTGCCGTCTACAACTTCGACGGGGGGCCTTGCCTGCGCTGCGTCTTCCCCACGCCGCCTGGCACAGCCGAAGCTGCAGAGACAGTGGCGTCGTGCGAGGAAAATGGCGTCCTGGGCCCCGTGGTGGGCGTCGTGGGCGCGCTCGCCGCTCTGGAGGCCGTGAAGCTAATCGCGGGCGGCAGCCTCCTGGAGGCTTGCATGCGCGACCGCCTACTCCTGTACGACGCGGCGGACGCGGCCCAGCCTTGCCGGGCTCTGAAGATCAGGAAGAGGCCGGGATGCGAGGGCTGCGGCCGTGCCGCGGGCTCCCCGCCGCCCGCGGAGCTGGCGTGCCCGTGCGTGCAGGCCCCAGCTGGCGCCTGCGCTGTCCCCGCGATGTCCCCGGCCGCGCTGGCGCGGCGCCTCTGCGAAGGGCAGCCCACGGTGGTGGTGGACGTCCGGCCGCCTCCTCACTTCGAGGTCTCCAGCCTGGCCGGGGCGAGCAATTGGCCCCTGCCGGAGCTGGAGCTGGCAGCGCTGGACCACGTCAGGGACCGCGCCGCATCGCTGGGGGCGCGCCCTCTGGCCCCGGCGGGCGTGGCAGCCGGGCCGGCCGAGGCGCCCTCGGCGCCGCTGCTGGTCTGCGTCTGCCGCCGCGGCAACGACAGCCTGCGGGGCGCAGCGCGCCTGCGGGACGCCGGGTTCGAGGCGTGGAACCTGGAGGGGGGGCTGCGGGCATTTGCAGCCTCGTGCCAGGAGCACTGCGAGGCTGGCCTGGAGGTGCCGCCCATCACATGAGTGCGCTCCTGCGGCTCGGTCGTGCCGCCGCACCGTGGCCCGACCGCGCGCCCATCCCTCCCTCGACAGCGGGCACGGGCTCCCTGGCTCCACAGCACGACTCATCTCCACTTCTCGTTTCCACATCTTGAGGAGCTCTCATGGGAGATTTGTCTGGGCCGTCTGGGGGCTGTCTTGGACTCCTCCGTGGCAGTTTTGGGTGCCCCTTGGGACCCTTGTGAGTCGTCTCGGGGCCTTCTGGGGCCGTCTGGGGCCCTCTTGGGCCGTGGGTGGCATCTTGGGGCCGCCTTGGGGGATTATTGGGCCTTCGAGGGTCCCTCTCGTGCCGTTTTGGTTCCCAGCGGGGGCCCTCTGGGGCTTGGGGCTCTCTTGGGGCCGTCCTCTGCCGTCTAGGGGCATTCTTGAGGCTCTCAGTGGATTCCTTGGGGCCCTCGAAGACATCACTCCTCCGGGACCTTGAAGATCTTAAATGAATTGGTTTTCGTACTAAGGGCGGGGAAAGCGAAGGCCATGCTACTTCTACAGGGGTGAACTACGTTCTTGGCTTCTCGAGGGCCTCCCAGAGGCTGTTTGGGTGCGTCTTGGGGCAAGGTTCGGCCACCATGGCGGCCTTGGTGACGTCCCTGGGACGTCCTTGGAAGCCTCGCGCTGCCCCGGAAAGCCCCGCGTAAGCGCGGGGGCCGCCCTGCAGGCCTCGGGAGGGAGGGCTGGTGCATGCAGGTGGACGTGGCGAGAGGCCGGGAGGGAGGGTCCCTGAAAACACTCCCGGCGAACCTCATGCCCATCACTTGGTATTCGATCACGCCTCAGCATGCCAGGTGCCACGGTTGCAGATCTCTCTCTCTCTCTCTCTCTCCCTCTTTCTCTCTCGCTCTCTTCCTGTCTCTGTCTGTCTGTCTGTCTGTCTGTCTGTCTGTCATTTCTGTCTGTCTGTCTGTCTGTGTGTATGTATGTATGTATGTATGTATGCATGCATGTATGTATGTATATGTGTGTATGTATGTATGTTTGCATGCATGTATGTATGTATGTATGTATGTATGTATGTGTGCCTGTCTGTCTGTCTGTATGTATGTATGTATGTATGTATGTATGTATGTATGTAATTATGTATGTATGTATTTATGCATGTATGTATGTATGTATGTATGTATGTATGTATGTATGTATGTATGCATGCATGCATGCATGCATGCATGTATGTATGTATGTATGTATGTATGTATGTATGTAGTATGTATGCATGCATGCATGCATGCATGCATTTATGCATGTATGTATACATGTATGTATGTATGTATGTATGCATGCATGCATGCATGTGTGTATGTAGGTATGTATGTGTGTATGTTTGTACGTATGTATGTGTGCATGTATGTATGTATACAGGTATGTATGTATGTACGTATGTATGTATGTGTGTACGTACGTGCGTGCGTATGTATGTATGCATGTATGCATGTATGCATGTATGCATGTATGCATGTATGCATGTATGCATGTATGCATGCATGCATGTATGTGTATATACATATATGTGTACATATATAAATGTATGGTCATTCATTCCCCTTCCTATATTTTTACAAGCCCGGGGGGGAAACCCTCACCCCCCCCCAAAACTTGGACCCCCGGGATCTGGGGTTCTCGGGCTCCCTTGGACGTCCTTGGAAAAGGTCACCCGGCTTTCCGGGTCTCCACAAACGCCTTGCCAGCAGACCCAGAGCGATCCGAGGGGTCATCAGAAAGGCTCAAGGGAGGCCCCAGACAGCACAAGAGCGCTCCAAGAGGGACTCCAATTGCGTCAGGACGGCCCAAAAGACCCCCAAGGCACCCCAAAAAGCTTTCCAAGGGGCCTTCAAAGCAAAAAAATCGTCCCATTCCCTTGGTAAAACTTGCAATTTCAGCATATTCGCCTGTCGGATTTCATCAGCTTTCAAGACGGTTTCAAAGCCCCCGAGATCGCCTCCAGACGCCCCAAAAGGCCTCCAATAAAGCTTCAAGACGGCCGAGCCGGGTCCCATGATCGCCCACGAGAGCCCCAAGACAGCCCATAATGGATCCAAGAGGCCAGGGCTTCCAGCACAGATCCAAAAGGGCCATGGGAGGTCCCCGGAAGTGCCCACGATGGGTCCACAGGGGGCTCCAGCGGGCCCAAGCTCCCCAAGACGGCCCAAGAAGGCCCCAGCACGGCCCATCAAGGCGCCAAAACGGCCCACGAGGGCCCCGAAAACACCCCCACGATGTTTCCGAATGCCAACATGAAGACCCCCAAGGCACCCCAAAAAGCTTTCCAAGGGGCCTTCAAAGCAAAATTATCCCGGCAAAGCAACCTAACAGCCATGTGTAGGAGCATATCTGGAAGCATTCCCCTTAAGATTCGGATGAGAATCCAGTTGTAGAATTCTGCTGTTCTCGCAGTCGTTGTCGCATTCGCGAGGACAGTCGCAGTGGCAACGGCAGTCGCAGTCACAGCCTCAGCCTCAGCCTGCCTCAGCCTCAGCCTCCGCCTGCCTCAGCCTCAGCCTGCCTCAGCCTCAGCCTCAGCCTGCTTTAGCCTCAGCATCAGTCTGCCTTCGGCCTCGGCCTCAGCCTCAGCCTGCCTCAGCCTCAGCCTGCATCAGCCTCAGCCTCAGCCTCAGCCTGCCTCAGCATCAGCCTGCCTCAGCCTCAGCCTCAGCCTCAGCCTGCCTCAGCCTCAGCCTCAGCCTGCTTCAGCCTCAGCCTCAGTCTGCCGTCGGCCTCGGCCTCAGCCTCAGCCTGCCTCAGCCTCAGCCTGCATCAGCCTCAGCCTCAGCACGAAGCGACCCAGCTAGAAGGACAAAGCGCTGAATGTACACCGATGTGTTCGACGACTGCGTATGTAATGATGTGACGATATACAGACTGAGCCCTTCGTGAATGTCTACATGTTTTTCTGACGCCTACAAACGGCGCTGACGTGTGTGAGAAAATTGTCCGCGCAGCAAAAGCCGGCGAAGCGTGCGGGAGCTCGCATGCTGAGACAGACTACGTCTGCAGACCGCCAGCTGCAAAAAGTTGCGAGCGGCTCTTGGAAGATGTTTACGGAACGGAGCTACGGTGTCTGAAAACATTGGCATCGAAGGGAAGAGCCTCGGAGCCCTGCAACCTGAGAAACACCGCAGGAACTCGCATACTGAAAAGGAATGCATTGCAAACCGCACGCTGCGAACCCTGCAGGCTGAGAAGCACCGCAGGATGTCGCATGCTGAAAAGCACTTGTACTGCAGAGCGCTAGCATCTATCTCGGGCTCGGACCCCCCCGTCCTGATCCAGAACGTGTCCGGCCACGGCCTGAAAATGCCGTTCCAACTCCCGAGGATCAGCTGGCACTCCGGCTCTGGGACACTCCAGTACGTCTTGAGCACCTTGAGCCAGGCCCCATCTCGGGATCCCCACAGCACGCTGTACTTGACCGAGACCGTGCCGAACTCATAACAATTGACCTCCGAAGGACCTGCGAGTGCAGGCTGAGAAACACCACGCGATTGCAGGGCACGGCATTGCGTGTCACATGAGTGCAGGCTGAGAAGCACCACATCTCGTTTGCCAGAGATCACTCCCAGGTTATTTGATCCCGCAACACCAGCCACGGCGTAGCTGCCACAGGGGCCGCAGATAGCAACGGTTCGGTCACCCAATTGGCGTTCCGGTGAGTCACAATTCGCGCGTGGCTCCACGAGCCTGTGTAGCGCGATTTGCGGGGCACCAGTGTGCTGTAGGTGTTGTTGCCGTAGCAGAAGACGGCCTCTGGAGCCCAGTGCGGATTCCAGCGGACAGCGTAGACCCTGTGGACGCCATTGCGGATGACGTCGCGCGCACCTTCGATATGTGCCACCCATCGAAGCCAGTCAAATGCTGAGCCATCGGTGATGTCAACAGCACCTGGGGCAGTCTCGCCATGGTGGTAGTGCAACAGCGATTGGAGAGCGGCGCTGGCTTCGTCGCGGCCCACAATCTGGCGCGAGCAGGCTGCCTCTTGCAGGTGCTCCTGTGTGAAGAGCAGTGGGGCATCACCGCCAGTCTCGGCAGGCTGAGCAGCGCCACCGTCAGGCACGGCAGTCTGAGCAGCGCCGCCACGAGGAACATGAGGCTGAGCAGCGCCAGGCTCAGGCACGGCAGGCTGAGCAACGGCGCGTGGTGGACCGACATAGGTGGGCTCATCGGGTCGGCCGTTCTTATGGTAATGCAGGCGCATGGCTGAACCGTCTGCACGACGGAACTCGAAGAAGTGCCTGCCGTGGCCATCCGTGTTGGAGTAGTTAGGGTCGCGCTCTGTCTCGATGATGCGAAAGAGAACCTGGGCGATGCCCTGCCCGATTATGCGCTCAGCGAAACCCGGAGCGGCAGACCGAAGCAGTTGCTTCCAGTCGTAGGACGGGTCGTTTGTTACGTCTTTGAACGACAAGTTGTTGACAATGCACTCGGCGCGCAGCGCGCGCTGCCACTGGCAGGCGGTCTTGCCGCCCATCCCTGGTGTACGGCGGATGTCTTCGAGGTGAGCCTGCTCAAAGACCACGTCGACACCTGGCTGAGGAGTCGGTGCGGGCGGATCCGGCAGAATCTCCCACGGGCCATCGCACGGGGCCGGGGGTGGCGGGGGCGATGCCTTGCCGCGTGCTGGCATTGTGACAAGGCAGGCTGAGGAGCACCGCCGCGGCTGGACGGCCAGGTGAAACTCGAGCAAACATGGTTAAGGATGATGATGATGGTGTTGATAGGAAACCCGGTATCAGCGAGTTGATGTACAATGAGGTGTCCGCAAACGAGACACTGCTGTCAACGCTGTTATAACTAACCACAAACGAGACACTGCTATCAACGCTTGCACAATTAAAAAGAAACGCTGGCATTGACACTACTAGCAATACCAAAGTGGAGTTTAAACGAGGCACTGCCATCAACCGATTCAACTTCCAATGAAAGAAGATCACAAATGAGTTCACTCTGAAGTGACCCATGGGTATCAATGCGAGAAG